GTGTAACCAGGAGGTGGTGAGGTCAGGGCTGGGCTGGTGTCCATCCTGAACGGATTTCACCTGGGAAGGGCTAAGGGCAGAGATGGCAAGTCTGAGTGAATGAAGGACCCACTCAAGGGGCTAAGAGGGTGAGCATCAGCCAGGAACCCAGGGAATAAGTTTCCTGGTGGACATGAGACTCATTTTCCCGGAAGAAAGCTGGTGGCTCTGATGATCCAGGAGGGAGCAGACCATCTGTCAAGAGCATGATTAGCCCGGGGTCTGGGTACCCAGACTCCCAGCCCTGAGACTGGGCCCAAACTCGGGGTGAGGCAGGAATGGCCTGTGTGGGAGGGGCAGAGTTCAGGGTTGTAGGAGGAACATCATGGAACAACAGGAATTCCCCCAGGAGAGAGGAGGGCTCTCAGTAGCCAGCAATGGCCACTAGAAAGGCCCACAGCAGCCACACATGGTGCCCTATGGGCAGGTCTGGGAACAAGGGAGGCCTTTTCCTGGTGGGGCCCCAGATCTGCCATCCTCCACCATGGAAGGAGGCATCTCTGTGCCAGCCACTATGCCTAGTGCCCTCCACACACCAGCTCCCTCAACCCCTCACCACAGGAGACCCCAAGGCTCTGGGCTGCCAGTGCCCGGATGCTGACTCCTGCCTGTGCCCATCTCTGCATTCCTGAACTGAGGCTCGGGAGGTAGACTGGAGCAGACTGTTCAGGAGAGGGGTCTGAAGGGGTGGAGAAAGGGGACCTGGGGTGTGGCTGTGGAGGATGCCCCGCAAGAGAGAAGAGGCTGAGGGCCCCTTCCAGGATAACCACTGGTCACATGTGAGCGTCCTCTCTCATCTCCAGGCTCCTGGCTGGAGGCAGGGCTGCGGTGAGCTGTGGACGATGCCCTTGGCCTGAGCAAGTGGCCGTGCCTTGACTAGGGCCCGGGTTGAGGAGCCAGATGTGGCCCCAGGAGGAAGCCAAGGAGCTAAGGACTAGACCCTAGGGAAGCAGTCTCTCTCAGAAAGAGGCGGGGCTCTGGCCTCACCACGTGGAGCCGCCCCCCCAAGAGTTCTGGGTACCACGCCCTGACCCCGCATCTCCACCCCAGCACACGGGTAGCAGGGACCCCATCTTCTAGGGCAGGATTTGCTGGCGAGGAGGGAGATGAGCAGAGGCAGTGGACGCGGAGGCCCGCGGCTGGCGGGCCTGGGCGCGACTCACGTTCTCGTGGCGCATGTGCTTGAGGAGGCGCAGTTCGCGGTAGGCGCGCTTGGCGAAGAGCTCCGACTGGAAGGGCCGGTACAGTTTCTTGATGGCCACCTTGGCGCCAGTGCGGCTGTCCACGGCCGAGCTGCGGGACGCACTGGTCAGCGAGAGGGCCGAGCCACCCCGCGCCGACGCCCGCCACCCCGCCCGGCTCCCGCTCACCACACCGCGCCGTAGGCGCCGGAGCCCACGGGCTGCAGGTCCTGGTACACGGCGCGCACCTCCCAAGCCGTCTTGGTCACCTCCTGGCGGTAAAAGCCCCTGCGGGCGGGTGGTGGAGAGCTCATGGCGCCCCAGGCACCGCCCCCGCCACGGACCCCCTGGGCGCTGCGCCCCGAGGACCGGGGGCCCGGGATCAGCGGGACTCCCTGGCCGCGCGTGGGCAAAGCCTGCTCCGCGCGGTCGCCCGTCCGCCGCTGGGGCCCTCCGGCTCTCCCCTCCTGGGGCCGCCCTCCAGGTCGTCAGGAGTCGCCGACCCCGGCCCGACCCCAGCCCCGGCTCGGGGAGCGCGCGGTCCCTCCCCTGCCCGCGGACCAACCGGCCCCCAGGCCGCGCGCACGTGACGCCCCCGCCGGCCCTCTGGCCCCAGCGGAAACCTGAGGCGGCAGCCGCGGGGGGAGGGCCGGGGGCTGGGGGGAGGGGCGGAGCGGGGGAGGGGAGCGCCGCCAGGCCGCGCAGGGCCGGCCCGGAATGCACTGGAGACCCCGGCCGCCTCTTCTCCCAGGCCGGACTCCCCCGGCCCGGGTGCGGGGTGTCTTAGCACAAGTCCCGTGGGGCGCGCGGCTCCTCTTTAGTAACCACGCCCCCAGGCAGCTGGGCCCATCCTGGGCAGCCGGAACCGCAGCGCTTCTATTCCCAACTGCAAGTCACTGTCCACCAGCCTGGCCAACTCCACCCCACCAACCCGGGCCCCACCCCCGAGGCCCCTGACCTGAGCCCTGTGTCCCCCACGTCAACGGCCCACCTTGCAGGCCGCCCCCTTCCCCTGGGGCTGATCCATCCACGTCCTAGTGTGGGGTCCCCAGCACCTATGGCCTGCATCCCCCTCTCCCTGTGACCAAACCTAGGCTGCATCCCCAACATCCCTCCCTGTGACCACACGATCCCAAGCCTCCCAACCCCTGGAGCCAGAGAGGGTGGTCCTGTGGGTCTCCCTTGGGCCCTGGTGCACACCCAGCTCCCTTCTCTCCACCCACCTGGCAGGTGGGAAGCCTGCTCCAAGCATGTGCAAGTCCCTTTGCCTGTCCCACCTTCTTCCCATCTTTCTCCCTCCTGTTTGTCCTGAGCCTGGCCTGAGCCTCTCTTCTCTCTGCAGAAAGTTATCTGACCCCAGGGGTGAAGGAGGGCCCTACTTGGGCCCTCAGTGCCCCCCTTTATCCCTAGGTGGGGGCATCAGCATCATCCTTCCAGAGGTCTGGCCACATCCTGCACCAGATGCTCCTGGAGGACAGAGCCCCCTCCCCAGCCGCCCCCAGCCCAGTGACCCAGGTCTGAGACGGAGTGGGGTAACAGGATCCCCAGGGCCCCCTGCCTTTCCCTCTATGCCCTGCTGGCCACCACGAATCAGCAGCTCAGAGCTGGCCAGAGCAGCTTTGCACCTGGGCTGCAGGCTAGTCTTCCGCAGCACCCAGGAGTTGGAGACTAGCCAGAGAGAGTGGCCTGGGGCCACTGGAGCCACCACCACTTGAGCCCCTCATGCCCTGGGCTGCCTCCTCCAGGAAGCCTCTAGCTGGCCCACTTACTCCCTGCAGTGGGGCCCAGGGGTCTGGCAGGTTTCCCCATGTGGGGCATGTCCCAGCTCTGCTCCCATCCCCAGCACACCCCGCCCCCCAACAGCAGGACTTGGCCCAACCTGGTCTGCAGGGTTCCCTAGGACCTGAGGCCCAGTAGCCACACTGACCAGGCCCCTGGTGTTCCAACTCCCAGATGGTCTCCACCCCCAAGGCCCAGGGCAAAGGCACAAATACCCCCGTCCTAGGGACATTTTGCCTGATCCCTGTTGAGGCCAGTGCCCTTCCTCACCTGACCTGCAGTGAACAGTAGGAGCTAGTAGCTCGGTGTATGTCCTGAGGGCTGAGGTGGACCTCTTTCCCCTTAAGCAGGAAGGAAAGGAAAGTTTTCCCACTTTACCCAGCTCCAGGGAGGGATAAGCCTTTGCTCCCAGAGATCGTCCCCCAGCAGTTTCCCTGACCACTGAGAGAAGGGGCAGATCTGCAACCAGACCAGAAGCTGAGCTTGCCCAGTGAGCTCCTCAGCAGGGCAGCTGGGGTTGATTTGTGCATGGCCATCAAGCTCTGTCCCGGGTCAGAGCCCATTAGCCTGGGTGTGGAACTCACCCCACCCCACCCCCAGTGGCCCTGGGCTCTCCGGGAGCAGGGAGGGTGCTGGGCTGAATATGGCTGCTTGTCTGACTGGAGACCCAAGGGATCTGGGCAGTGCAGGGTCTGGGGGGGCCAGAGCAGCTGGGGGTGTGACGCACAGATCCAGCCACCCTCTCCCCAAGCAGTGGGGACAGCCAGGCAGCGGGGCCTCGGGACTCGGGACACAAGCTGAGTGAGAGAGAACCCCCTTTATTGTGAAACCCTCGTGCAGGCACTTGACGTTGAGACCTCTGCAAGGTGGGAGGTCACCACCTGACACACGGAACACCACCCCCTCACAGAGAAGCCCCTCGATGGGGGACCCACACCCCCGACACGTCTTAGGCAGGGTCACGTCCCAGAGGTTACTAGATCAGCTCCGTTCTGGAAGAAGGGACCCATAGGCCAGAACAGCCCAGCGCTCAGCTGCAGGGCCGGAGGGTGGGCAGAGGTAGAGTGGGCAGAGGCTTCTTCATCAGCTCCGGGCCAAGGTCAGGGTCTGAGTCCAAGGGTACACTGGTGGGCGCCACTCCCCCCCCCCGAATCAAGGCTGGAGCCCCTGTGCCCACCAGCTCTTCATGCCTGCCACAGCCCCCACACTCAAGGAGAAAGTCCCTGGCTTTTGTCCCCTGGTTACCCCTTGCCCACCTGAGCCCTTTGCATGGTGCACCCAGGATCTCAGCGGCAGCACCCCACCCCCCACATCAGGAACTGAGGGAAAGGAAGTAACAGTACGGCCCCTCACTCAGGCTTCTTGCTGGTCACGGCACCCACAGAGTCACGCGCGCCTCGACATGTCAGTGCCAGGAGTGCACATTAGTACACGTGCGCCCCCCACAGCCCAGGTGAACATGTGGCCCTGGGATGGTCTGCTCATGTGACAGACACCTGGCGGCAGTCTCAGCTCTCAGACCTTCGGGTCTCGGCATTTCCCAGGGTAGCCCCCACTTCCAGGTCGAGAAGCTCTGACAAGCAAGACCCTCCCTTCAGTCTCCAGAGGCCCCTGGCCCCAGTGCACTACGCCCTCCAGAGACAGCCCTCTGGGACTGAGAAGATCTGGAGACAGACACACTCCCCAGGGGATCCCCTGTGGCATCCAGGGGAGGTCCTAAGGGAGACCTAGATTGTTGGAAGGAGGCAGGAGGACCGAGGAAGTCCAGGATGCTCCGTCTAGACTCCTACACCCGCGGCTTGCACACATGCACACCATCGTGCATGCACATGCATACAGACTGCCCACGAGGAGCAGCGTGCAGGCGGGGGACCCCAGGCTAGGGTCAGGGCGCTGGCCACAGTGGTGTTGGGAGGCCCTCCTCGTGGGAATGCGGCAGGCTGAAGAAGTGGGCCGGCATGCTCCAGCCCGTCTTCTGGTCCCCGTGGCTGGCGGGCACATGCCCCTCACTGCTCAATCTCCAGGCTGCCGGGAGACTGCGGTGGCTCTGCAGGCTTGAAGCTGAGGACCTCCTGGTAGGTGAGCTCTGGGAAGTGAAGGGAAAGGGTGACATCATGCTGTCACTGGGCCACTGCCCCCGCCTCCCAGTCCGGTGCCAGTTGCCCAGCCCAGGCCCACCACCCTGAGGGCAGCCTCAGCCCAGCCCCTGGGGCTTCCTTCCAGAGCCTGCCCTGTGCCGCCCATGAGCCTCTGCTGGACACACCCAGCCCCAGGAGTGCGGGGAGTTCGGGGACCACTCTGGGCAGGAACTGGACACTTCCAGCAGGAAACAGGCAGCTCCTAGCCTGCGGGGAAATGAAGCCCTCAGGCCCCTGGGCTCCACTGCTCCCACCCCCCGGCCCTCCTCAAGCCCACCCTTCCACTCCTCCACTGTGCGCTCCTTGGCCTCAACGCTCTCATCATAGGGCTCGGCCTCAGGCTCATCGTCAGGGTCATGGTACTGGCTGAAGTAGGCATGGGCCAGGGCCTCGGCCGCACTGACCCTCTGGTCACTGTCGAGCACCAGCATCCTTCCCAGCAGGTCCACAGCTACGGAGTGGTCAGTGGAAAGGCGGTGGTCAGTCGTGCATCTAGGGCCAGACATGGAGCCCAGCCCAGACCCAGGGCCCATCCTCACCCAGGGGGTTGGCTCCATGGAAGATGCTCCTGAGGTCCTTCTGGGGCATGGGGGGCAGGGACTGGATGTATGTCCGGGCCTGGGGGCACACAGGAAGGGCCTGAGGGGGTGGCTCACACCCTACCTCCCCTGGCCCGAAGCCAGGCAGGGACTTGCTGAGAGAAGCCCCCAGACTCATTGACTGCAACAGGACTGGACAAGAGCATGCATAGAGGGGCGCCTGGGTGGCTCAGTCGTTAGGCGTCTGCCTTCAGCTCAGGTCATACTTTCAGGGTCCTGGGATCGAGCCCCACATCGGGCTCCCTGCTTGGCTGGAAGCCTGCTTCTCCCTCTCCCACTCCCCCTGCTTGTGTTCCCTCTCCCGCTGTGTCTCTCTCTGTCAAATAAATGAATAAAATCTTAAAAAAAAAAAAAAAAAAAAAAAAGGAGCATGCACAGACCAGAAGCATCCCCCACTTTGGGTGTGGTGGCTCCAGAGCCTTACCTGGCTCTCCATGCCTGGAGCACCCCACTGTCCTTGGCAAAAGCACTGCTAGTCAGTGCTGAGATTGTGCCCTCACTGTCCCTCATGCCAGGAATGTCTTCCCTGTTCACCTGTTTCTCCCTGAAAGGGTCAGGCACCTGCCTTGGGCTCTATTCCACTGTGACCTATGTTTCCCACATGGTTCCCGGTCTATTCCCACAGAGCTCCTTCCTCCAGAGTGCCCAGGAGCTTGGTTAGCAGAGGTTGCTGGTGGCTGGTGACTCACGTGTTCTGAGGATATCTTTGCTAGAACCTCAGGGCTGGGTGTGCCCACCACCTCCATGATTCGCTTCAGCTGGTCGATGTCTGCCTGGCTGAGGAAATGCCTACTGGCCAGGAATAGACCCTTCCCAGGCCCCCAGATCCCAGACCTTGGGGCACTGCCCAAAACCTGCTCTCCTACAGCTGGAGCCAGTGAGCCTAAGGTGGCCCAGAGTGGCACAGAGGAGGCAAGGCCAGCCAGAAAGGGCCAGCACCCACCTCCCCTGAGCCCCACCCAAAAGAAGGGGACCCTGGCTCACCCTCCTCCCCAACCTGGGCCAAGGATACAGTCATTTCCTGGAAAGAGAGCCTTTCCCTGGAGCAGCTCAGCCATGATGCAGCCCACAGACCAGATGTCCACTGTTGGGGAAGGAGTCTCCATTAGTCTGCCCTCCCCAAGGACCCCCTCAGAGAATTAGGGATCTGCCCAGACTGTGCCAGCTCAGTGGCCTCTCAGTCACACCCGGGCCCCAAAACAGCAGAGACCCCCTTACTCCTCTAGGTACAACCCTGGGTAAGGGGAAGAGTTAGCCCAAGACCTATTGTGCTTGGCCCCTCTAAGGTCTGTTTTTGCATGATGGTCCCTGTCCTCCAAAGCTGGACACACACCTCCCCAACGGCCTTGGCTTTTGCCCCATACCCACCCACCCACCCTCCCCAGGCCCTGGTGTGAGCTCTGCCTGCCCACCCTGGTCCAACACAGCCCACCTGCCCCTGTGTGGGTTGACATCACCTGTCTGGTTGTAGTGCATCCAGTTGAGCATGATCTCAGGTGCACGGTACCAGCGAGTGGCCACATAGCCAGTCATCTCTTCATCAGCCTGGCGGGCTAGCCCAAAGTCCAGGATCTAGAGCGACCACCAAGCTTGTCAGCACCTCCCTGAATGCCCCCTCCACGGCCCGGCAGGCCCCTCACCTGCAGGCGGCTCACCCTAAGCTCGCAGTCCTCGTTCACAGCCACGTTGCTGGGCTTCAGGTCCTGCAGGGCAGGTGGGTTGTGAGTGCTGGAAAAGCACCGGGGCCGGGCCTGCAGAAGCCCCGACCCTCACGCGGACGCCGCACCTACCCGGTGGATGATCCCCGCAGAGTGGATGTACTGCGAGGGGGAGAGGGGGACACGGTGGGAGGGTCAGGTTCTGACCCGGGCACCGCGCCCTGTGCCCGCCCACGCGGCGCCCACCTTAAGCCCGCGCAGCAACTGGTAAACCAGGAACTGGACGTGCTCGTCGCTCAGCGCCTGGCACTTGACGATGTTGTTCAGGTCTGCGCCCATCAGGGTGGTCACCAGGTACCTGGGAAGGGTAGGGGGTCAGCATAGAGGCCCCGCCCCCCACCGGACGCGCTCCCGGGTCGGCTGCCACTCACACTTCGCTGAAGTCCTCAATGGAGGTGGCCGGCGTGAACACGTCCAGCAACCCGATGACCTGCGTGGGGACGGGGGTCAGGATTCGGAGCTCCCGCCGGAGCGCCCCCTGGGTGCTGCGTGCCCCGCGGGGAGCCCGGGCAGCTCGGCTGCCCACCCCGGGACACCCCGCTCACGTTCTCGTGCTTCAAGTGCTTGAGCAGCCGCAGCTCGCGGTAAGTTCTCCGCGCGTGGATCAGAGACTGGAAGGGTCGCGACAGCTTCTTCACCGCCACCTTCTGGCGCAGCCGCGCGTCATAGGCTGAGCTGCAAGGGCCCTGAGTGAGGCGGCGCGGTGGGGGCCCGGCCGAGCGCCCCAGGCCCTGCTCCTGTCGGGCCTGTTCTTCCCCGCCCTGCGCGCGGCTCAGACGGTCCCTCGGGTGGACCGGCACCTGGGAAGCCTCTCCTCTGTGCCTCCTTGGGGCCTGCTCCTTCTTCAAGAGGCAGCCCGCCGGCATTCCAGCCCACAGGGTCCCGGCCTGCCCCACCAGGGAGTCCTAGGGCAGGACCTGGATCTTCTCCCCCCAGCTCAGCATGGGGCTGGGGGAGAGTCTCCACCAACCAGGTCAGGAAAACAGCCATTGCAAACCATCCCTTTTCACCCCAAACTGTCCTCCTGCTCCCCTATTGGTTCATGGCTCCGGGAGTCTCCCTCAGGGTTTCCAGAGCCACCTGCAAAGCCTCTGGGTCCCCACACTTCTGAATATACAAAATATGGAGGAAAAACTGGCCGAAAGCGTTTACCGCATTATTATTTTTAAGAGTGAGAAACTGGGTACTATGAAGGGTCTGGACCCACAGAACATTCCCCTTGCCGCACCCTATTTCCCAGAGGTCCAGATGCTCCACCTCCACACCAGCTTCCACACCCATCTAGTCTTCACAGGAGACACAACAGTCATGGGCATCATCTTCAAGTGCAAACGGCCTGCCCCCCCACCCTCCCAGAGTCCCGCTGGCCTCCGCATGGGAGCCCTGCTAAGAGCCATCCATGCCTTCAGAGACCGCTTCCTCTCCCTGATAATCACTCCTTCCCTCCCTCTCACTTCACATCCACTCTCCAGATCCCGCCTCCCCCAGCACCGAGTGGAGTCTACACAGCCCAGGGAGCAGCTCCTGCAGCACCTGGGATGTCCATGGGCCCAGGTGGTGGTGCAGGAAAGCCAGCTAGGTGCCTGAGGCATCCACGCCCCTTCCCCCAGACTGTGGCCTGTTGGGGAAGGTCCACGGCACTTCTGGGGAGGCAGGTAGGGGAGTGGCTGCTCCTACGGGGCAGCAGATCCTTTTGCCCAATTGTGTCTGCACAATCAAGTGACAGGGATTTGGCACTGGGTCACCAGCTTCATCAGGAGAATCCAGGAACCCAGGAGAGGGCCATCACCTGCGCTGGGCACCGCCCACTAAGTGCAATGGGGAGAAACCCAGGCCTCCTTTGGGGAACTTGATACTCTCTAGGAACTCCCAGAAGGTGATTCTAGACCGGAGGTGATTCCAGCAAGGACTCTATATTCCCCAGGGACCACTCACTCATGCATTATCCTGACCCTCTTCCGGCCCTTGAGGTCTTAGAGATGAGGAGAGAGGCCTGAGGCTGGAATGGATGAAATGGCCGGCCTGAGGATTCTGGCAAGCGGGCCAATGACAGCAGATTGGGGAAGGGCGGGGGAGGGAAGAAGCCCTTGCTCCAGGCTCCAGCACTGGACCTCTGGGGGGTTCAGGAAGTCCCACTCTTAACTTTCTTTCAGAGCCAGGAGCAATGCCCCATCCCTAAGGGCTCTGGCCTCCCCACCTCCAAGACTCCCTCAGTGGACTGCAGCCACCTGGCTCAGGCCTTGGTAAGGACCCCGCTGGGTTTTGGGGGGCACCTCTCAACATCCACACCCACAGTTAGCCCATCAGTATTGCACCTGCAACCGACTTCCTGCAACCACCTTACCCTAAGACCCCCAGTCCCTCCCCAACCCCACTCAGGCCTCAGCCAAATCCCAACCCTCTCACCCACTTCCAGACTGTCCTCTGTCTGGGCCCCAGGCCCAACTGTGGGGCTGTGGTCTGAGCTCTCTTGGTTAGGGCAAGAAATGGACTGGGGTGTAGACCCCCATAAGTATTGTAGGGATAATGGTAGGCATCTCTGCTCAGGCCTAGGCCCCATCCAGAGTCTGAGACCCTTATAAAACGGGAGGGGGTTAGGACCCGCCCGGGAGTTTGAGGCCATTCTAAGGGGAGGGATCCTGCCCTCCCCCAAGCTGGGCTTTTCCTTTTGCAAACAAAACTACCCACCCTAGTACCCGGTCATCCGCCAGACCCCAGGGATGCCAGACCCTTGACGGGGGGGGAGGGGCGGGGGGCCACCGTAGACGCATGCTTGCACATTTAGGGGCCCGGGAGACCCGCCCTTTCGCCGACTGTGACGCCGCAGGATTTGGGCCTGGTGGGGGATGCTCCGGCTGGGACGGGGCGGAAGAACGACCCCTCTCCCCAAGCCCGAACGGCGCCCGGCAGGAAAGTTTCCTTCATGCCCCCCACCCCCCATTCATTGCTGCGCTCCGTGAAAGGCCCGGGGGCGGAGGCGGGGCGAGGCCCCACCCCACGCCAGGCACCTCGCAAAGGGAGGGGAGGGGGCGCGCGCTCAGTCCCGCCCGCACCTTCCCGCCCTCCCCGCCGCCCCTACCAGACCGAGCCGTAGGCGCCGGAGCCCACCGGGCGCAGCCCCTGCAGCCGCTGCGGCACCTCCCACACCGTCTTGTTGAGCTCCAGCCGGTAGAAGCCTGCGCGCGGGCCCGACATGTCCGAAGCGGCCGCCGCCCGGCCCGCGCCCCGCCCCGCGCCCCCGCCCCGCGCCCCCGCCCCGCGCCGCTCGGCCGCCGCAGCCACCGCCTCGCCGCTCCCTCCCGCTGCCTTAAAGGCGCCGAGCGGCGGCCGCGCCGCCCCCCGCGCCGCCGGGGAGGGAC